ACAACCAAACGAGAAGCACCAAAAGGAAACGAAACGAACACGGGTCATACACACTCTTAGTTTAGTAGTTTACACACACACACACACACACACACATACATACAACCAGTGGTGGGGGACGATCATCGCGGCCACGAGCGCGCGTTGAAGTATGCACCACGAGTTCCTAGGCGACCTCTTTGAGGAAGAGGTGCGGTCCGCAGGAAAGGCGTTCATGGCGATCGGCGCCGTCGGCTACTTCGCCGCGCAGGCGGAAAATAGCACACTCTTCAAGCGCGATGAGGTGCAGTACGCGATCGACGCGTACCTACCGCAGGGGTACGACCGCAGCGTCATTGCTGCACGCTCCAACCAGCTGCTGACGAAGAGCTTCATGATGAAGGCGCTTCGTATTGACAGCGTCAAGGAGGAGATGCGCCTCGCAGCCAATCGTGAGGAGAAGTTGAGCTGTTTGGCGGATCTGTTTCAGTTGACTTTGGTGGGAATGCTTAGCGCTGCGCACGTGCACAGCTTGACCATCGTGTTGCACGTGATTAGGAACACGGCGCTGATACTGGTCTATGTGCTCGGCAAGCGAGAGGAAAGTGGCGGCTCGCGCGGTAGGGCGATGGTATCAAAGGTACGCTCCTGGTGGTCGGGTGGCATGAAGAGCGTCATGCTAGAATCAATTGTTGAAAGGATCCAACAGGACATGGGGGGCTCACCCTTTGCGCAAGTGGTTGATGAGGAAAATGTGGTGGCCGCGGATATAGAGCGATGGTTCTCTGTAGAGGCACTGCTGCAGATTGCTGTCCCTCGCGTCGTGGAGTCGGCACGTCGGGTGGTGAAGACCGCGCTGAATCGTCGTGCACCGCACGTCTTTAGTGTTGCCGGCATTGTCACTGGGCAAGACATGCACATGTTGCTGGAGGAGATATCCGAGGACTTTGAGTCGTGTGTGGCGTGGTCGGATTGGCTAACGCCGCCACCACCAGCACCGGAGAGCGGTAACGGACTTGGGGGCAGTATTGGCGGCAAGGGCGTGGTGGTGGTAGAGCCTATCAGCGACGATGACGACGACGACGACGACGACGAGAGCGGCATCTTGGAGTTCCCCATGGGCTCCACTGCACTACCGCGCGACCACAGCGCCGCCTCACGACGTCAGCGCGACCGCAACGTGGTGGCGAGCGTGTTTGGCCTGCCGGGCGACGAGAGCCCCGCGGAGGCTGCCGCGCGGGAGGCGGAACGGCGGCGCGAGACGTTGTTGCGTGACCAGGCGTCTGGCTTCTTCCACGCGATTATTCACAGCGACTCGTTCAACGAGATCTGCATCGCCTACGCAGCGGAGGTGCTGGAGGGGGCCACAGCAGCAGCAGCGGATCTGCGGCACGTGCGCACCTACGACGAGGGCACGGACTCGGCGAGGATGCCGCAGGTGATCACGTCGTTGGAGAGCCACCGCCTGTCGCTCTTCGACCACGACTTCAACGTGCGGCCCTACCTCCGCCTGCTGTGCGAAGAGACCATCCGCGCCACGTGCCGCCTGTCGTGAGCGCTTGTGTGCGGGGTGCCTCTGTGCCGTGGCATGCGCCGTCATAATGCGACGGATTAAACATGGGCGGTCAATGAACGCAATGGGAGCAAAAGAGGAAAGACAACGAAAAACTGTTTTTTTTTTTTT